TTCATTTTGCAATCATTTTGTAATAATTCAGCCTAGGCAATGATGTTAGAGTTATTGGTTGAATTGTATGAGTTTGCTTTGATATTCCTATGTAATTTCACATGACCTACTCCATATAATGGAGGCACCATTCATGAATAAAGATTAGATGAATTTTATTGAAAAACAATATCACTTTGAGTGAATTTTATGATCATTGCTCTATTGGTTATGGATTGGACCAAATATCAATCTTATCAAGAAACCAAGTTTCTTGTGATGATCTACACTTGGATTATCATTCTTTATAATCAATAGAAATGGTGTTACTCCATATCTCTATCTTTTCCATTAACTTCTTTTCATTTAATATGTTTTGTGTCAGTTCTACCCGAAAATCATTTTCGTCAAAAATAATCCTTTTCATACTAAATATTCATTCCTCACAATCACAAGCATACAAAAAAATTCGAAATTATATATGTTGTTTTGTGTGAATCAAAGAAATGGCTAAAATCACAATTTAGAAGCCATCAAGTGGTATCATAGCAAGGTTGAAATAGGACCATTGTTCATTGAAAATCTAAATCATATTTCTTCTTAGTTTCTGTTTTGAAGTGTTAAGATAAATTAAAAAAAGAATTCGAAAAAACAAATTATAAAAAAAAATCTATTTGTGAAGCTTATGAATATTCAAGAATTGTTTGCTGCCACACTCTAGTTTTAGTGAGTTATTTTATGTCTTTGTTTTCTTCTTTTCTTTCAATTCCAAGCTTTGTGTGTTCTACTATTTGAAATTTTTGTTCTTGTGTGGTTGAATTTGGTTTCTTTAAAGAACTGAAAAGAGTAATAGAGTGGATAAAGGAAAGGGTGGTCATTATAAAAAAAAATCTAAATTTGAGTGTAAACAAGTGAGGACAAATTTTTCTTTATTAACTTTTTAATAATCATGTCAGGTGAGGAGGAAGGAAGCCCATGACAACTATAAGCCAATAGGTTGTTTTATTGGAGGCTCTTACAACAACAATGCAAATAATGTTGAGAGAAGAATTAGAGGGGATACATGAGAGGATTGATCGAGTATAAAATTTAGTAGCTAGTGGTGATGAGGAGGAAAGGAGGAGGAGAAGACGCGAGGAGAGGCCTAGGAAGGATAGATTGAGTGGCATAAAAATTAAAGTGTTACCCTTTAAAGGAAAATATGTTCCGGAAGCTTACTTAGAGTGGGAAACAAAAATTGAACAAATTTTTGCTTGTCACAATTATACTAATGCTCAAAAAGTGTAGGTTGCGGCCATTAAATTCACAGATTATGTCTTGGTGTGATGGGATCAACTTGTCAAAGAAAGAAGAAGATATAATGAACCAACCATCACTCAAAGATCCAAAAGTTTTGATTAATACTACAAGGAAATGTAGGTTGCAAAGATAAGGGTCAATATGGTGGAAGATAATGAAGCAACCATGGCTAGATTTCTTCATGGCCTAAATCATGACATAAGTGACATAGTGGAGCTGCAATATTATGTGTAGATAGAAGACTTAGTGAAACAAGCTATCAAAGTAAAACAACAACTCAAAATAAAGATCCAAGCAAGGAGAAGTTCCAGCACTTTCAATTATTCAAGTTGGAAAGACACGCAAAAGAAGGAGGGTGCTTCATCTTCATCATCTAAAGAGTCAACAGTTGAAACCAAAGGTAAAACTATTACACCTTTTCAAAGTGTTTCAACTAAAAAAAACTACATGTTTCAAGTTTCAAGGCCAAGGGCATATTGCATCTCAACGTCCAACTAAGAGAACTATTCTTATACAGGAAAATGAAGTTGTTGTTAAAGAGGAAGATGATGAGAATGTTGAAGAGTATGATGATGAATAAGAAGAAGAAATAACTAGTGGAGAGTTACTCGTGGTGGGGAGGATATTGGGGAACTTATTCAAAGAGGAAGACACCACTAAAAGAAAAAACCTTTTCCATACAAGATGTCTAGTTCAAGGAAAGGTATGTTCTTTAATTAGTGATGGTGGGAGTTATACTAATGTTGCTAGTACTCAGTTTGTTTCAAAGCTTAATTTAGAGACAAAACTTCACCCTAAGCCATATAAGCTTCAATGGCTTAATTAAAGTATTGAAATAATTGTTAATAGACAAGTTGATGTTTGTCTTAGAATTGGGAAGTATGAGGATACGGTGTTGTATGATGTAGTACCTATGGTGGCTAGTCATTTGTTGTTAGGGAGGCCTTGGCAATTTGATAAAAAAAGACTAGTCATAAAGGGTATTCCAACAAATACTCTTTTATGCATCATGGACAAAAGATTTTTCTTGTACCATTGAGTCCTAGTGAGGTGAGATAAGATCAAAAGAAAATGAGAGAAAAAAAATGAGCAAGAATGAAAAGAAAAGAATGAAAAAGAAAAAGGAAAGAATGAAAATGAAAAGAAAAAAAGTGACAAAAAAAAGAATGATGAAAATAAAGAGAGTTTGATTGCAAAAAAAGGAGAGGTTAAAAATGCAATTGTTTCAAAACAGACCCTATATTTGCTATTTTTCAAAGAGTTGGCGTTGCTAGCTAACACTCCTAATACACATAATTTTCCTAGTTAAGTTGAAACTCTTTTGCAGGAATTTGAAGACATATTTCTAAAGGATGTGCCAAGTGGTTTACCACCTTTAAGAAGAACTGAGAATCACACTGATCTCAATCCTGGAGCATCTTTGCCTAATAGGCTAGCTTACCTAAGCAATCCATAACAACTCAAAAAATACAACGACAAGTTACTGAATTGGTAAGTAAAGGATGGGTAAGAAGAGTCTAAGTCCATGCGTTGTTCCAATAATTTTAGTTCAAAAAAAAGATGGTAGCTGGAGAATATGCGCCGATTGTATGGCTGTTAATAACATTACCATTAAGTATAGGCACCCCATTCCTAGGTTAGATGACTTGCTTGATGAATTGTTTGATTCATGCTTATTTTCTAAGATTGATTTGAAAAGTGGGTAACATAAAATTAGAATAAGGGAGGGGGACAAATGGAAAACAACTTTCAAAACAAAATATGGTTTGTATGAGTGGTTGGTTATGTCATTTGGACTAACTAATTCACCTAGAACTTTCATGAGATTAATGAACAATGTTTTGAGGGATTATTTGCGTAAATTTGTTGTTATGTATTTTGATGATATTTTAATATATATAAAAAATTAGAGAAACATTGCATTCACTTGAGGGTTGTTTTGCAAGTGCTAAGACATGAAAATTTATATGCAAATTTGGAAAAATGTGTCTTTTGCACCGATCATATGATTTTCTTAGGTTTCATTGTAAGCTCTAAAGGAGTCCATGTTGATGAAAGCAAGGTGAAAGCAATTCAAGAATGGCCAACACCCAAAAATGTAAGTGAGGTAAGAAGCTTTCATGGCTTAGCTAGTTTCTATATGAGGATTTTAAAGGATTTTAGTATCTTGGCTGGACCTCTTAATGAAATAGTTAAAAAGAAATTGGGTTTAAATGCGGTGAAAAACAAGAGCAAGCCTTTGCTGCCCTTAAAGAGAAACTAACTTAAGCACCAATTCTCGCATTGCCAAAATTTTCTAAATCTTTTGAAATTGAGTGTGACGCATCCAATGTTGGAATTGGGACTGTTTTGATGCAAGAAAGTCATCCAATTGCTTATTTTAGTGAGAAATTAAAAGGGGATGCCCTAAATTAGTCAAATTAAGATAAGGAATTGCATGCCTTAGTTAGGACATTGCAAACTTGGCAACATTACCTACTGCCAAAGAATTTGTCATTCATAGTGACCATGAATCTTTAAAACATTTAAAAGGGCAAGGTAAGTCGAATAAGAGACATGAAAAATTGGTTGAATTTCTCGAACAATTTCCATATGTAATTAAGCACGAGAAAGGTAAGGCTAATGTGGTTGTAGATGCACTTTCAAGGAGGTGTGTTTTACTTTCTACTCTTGAAACAAAATTTTTTATTCTTGAGCATATTAAATATTTGTATGCAAGTGATCTTGATTTTTCTTCAAAATATTTAGCTTGTGAGCATGCATCCCTCAATGGATTTTTTAGGCACAATGGCTATTTATTTAAAGAAAAGAGACTATGTGTGCCCAAAAGTTCCATTAGAGAATTACTAGTGAAGGAGGCACATGAGGGAGGGTTAATGGGGGAACTTTAGAGTTTCTAAAACTCTAGAATTATTACAAGAACATTTTTATTAGCCTCATATGAAGATTGATATGCAAAAAAATTGTGAAAAATGCGTTGTTTGTAAAATGGCCAAATCAAAAGTTATGCCTCATGGTCTTTATACTCCTTTGCATATTCCTGAATTTCCTTGGATTGACATTTCCATGGACTTTGTTTGGGGCTTCCTAGAACAAAGAATGGAAAAGATTTTATTTTTGTGATTGTGGACAGGTTTTCAAATATGTCCCATTTCATTCCATGCAAAAAGGTTAATGATGTTAGTCATGTTGTTGATCTTTTATTTAAAGAAGTGGTACGCCTTCATGGGCTGCCAAGGAGCATTGCTTTAGATAGAGACTCAAAGTTCCTAAGCCATTTTTGGAGAAGTTTGTGGGGTAAGGTTGGAACAAAATAGTTATTTTCCACTACTTGTCATCCCCAAACAGATGGACAAACCGAGGTAGTGAATAAAACTCTCTCTATTCTTCTTAGGGTTATTCTTAATAAGAATTTTAAATTGTGGGAAGAATGGTTGCCTCATGTAGAAATTGATTACAATAGGGTTGTTCATAGCACTACACAACATTCACCTTTTGAGATTGTGTATGGTTTTAATCCTTTAACACCTCTTGATTTATTACCATTACCTAACACATCTCTTCTGAAGCATAAAGATGGCCACGCTAAGGCTGAATTCGTGAGAAAATTGCATGAGCAAGTTAAAATTCAAATTGAAAAGAAAAATGATAGCTATGCAAAAAGTGCCAACAAAGGGCGAAAGAAGGTTGTTTTTGAACCTGAAGATTGAGTTTGGGTATATATGAGAAAGAAAAGGTTTCCCCCACAAAGGAAGTATAAACCTCAACCTAGGGGAGATGGACCTTTTCAAGTGCTTTCAAGGATTAATGACAATGCCTACAAAATTAAACTTTCAGGTGAGTATGGTGTTAGTACTACCTTCAATGTTTCTGACTTGTCTCCTTTTGATGTAGGTGGTGGAGATTATAACTCGAGGCCGAATTCTCTTCAAGAGGGAGAGAATGAATAGGACATAAGCCAACAAGACATAAGTGATGTAATTCAAAGCTTAGGAGGTCTTATGACAAGGGCACATGCTAGAAAGGTCAATAAGGCTTTAGTGCAATTCATAATCGATTCAATGAAGGGCGAGGACATAGTTGAAGTAAAAGAGCCAAAACTTGTGTTTATAAACCAAGAAATTACAACGGCGTGACAACGGGACATGCTATCTATTTTTAATAGTTTAATTCTAATCATTATGTAATAAAAGTGTAAGGGGCCAATTTTGGACCAAAAACACTAAGTTTGAATTTTTGGTGTGTTTAATCCATTTTAAAGCTTCCAAAGCTTTAAATGTTGTTTGTTTGATTAATATTTCGTGATAATAAGGTGATGAAGCAAGAGGAGTGTGTGATACGGTGGGAGAACTGACTTGGATGTTTTACGTTTGATCGTAAATGTTGCGTTAGTAAGAGTCGCCACCGACTTTTCTTTTATCCAAAAGGAAAGGTGAAAAAGCACAGAAAAGACCTTTGAGATTGTTTCTTGAGTTCGGGGGGTAAATTATGAAAAGGGAATGTATTAGTACCCTTTTCATCCATGGTTTTCCATGGGCTCTTAGTTACTTGCTAGATCACTTGCTTTTGTTTGAAATTGTGCTTTGTGTGGTTTTTTGAAAGTATTTTGTAAAGACGCCATCGTTTAGGCAAACTTTGTAATGATTCTCGTTCGTAAGAATGTATACAAAGTGTTGATCTTTTGAAAATGTTTTCGATTTTGAAAGGTGTTTTGAAAGTTTTGGTGTTTGTTTTGAAAATAGCAAGGATGTTTGTTTTGAAATGGAGCAAGTAATTAGGAGCAATCTACCTACTCAAATGTCTTTCTTTTTCATTTTCTTTTCCTTTGACATTGTTGTCTTACCATTGATTTGGTAAGCAACCCTATCTTTGGATGTAAGCGGGATAAGCGTGGGTCATCGTATAGCCCTGATTAGCAATGTTGCAAGGTATCTTAGCATTCTTTTTTGAGGGACTAAGATCATTTGTAAGGCAACATTTATAGCGTCATCGAGGGACTATGATCTTGTATTTTGATTGTTTTTGCTAAGACATCCCACATGCATAACATGACCATTTTATAGGCAACAAGTGGAGTTAACCTTAAGGGTGCATGTGTGAATAGTGTGTTTGAGTTGCATGCATTTAATCTTTGATTAGGGTTATCTACTTGTTGATTTTATGTCTTTCCATACAAACCCTAGTTACTAGCATTTATATTTGAAAGTGATAATATGTGGAAATGTAAAGTCCTACGCTATTACATCGTTTAGGGGATGAGGGTACAATTTAAAAATGAGGGTGAAGTAGGAACTTAAATATTACAACCATACCGAATAACCATGAAGGAAACGTAAAAACAGTGTAAAAAGAAGGGGGGAAAATTCACTTTGAACTATTATGTGTCAACACAAGCTCACATGCATCGACACATAACTTTCCTTGCCCCTGTATTGCGAAATCAACTCAGTATGAGTCGATACATAATGGTATGTGTCGACTCATACACTGCATGTGTCGACTCATACGTGTTTTGTGTCGACTCATACATTGTTTTTTCTTCTATTTTGGGCCTGTAAAGCAGTATGTATCGACTCATAAGGCTATGTGTCGACTCATACTGTTATTTTTTATACTTCAAAATTTTTTTGCTGCATACATGGGTTAGTTCTCAACACATAATGAAAATAATGGAAGGTAAACAAAAGGTTAGCTTCAAGGACAATGGTTACTACACTTTGTCTTCAAAAAATGAATTACCAATGATGCTTGAAATGAAGAACTAAAGTTAAGAAAATTACCTTGGAGCTGGATCTTATACTTTGTGCTTAAGTTGTTGTATTGACTGCTCTTGAACTTGGAAAAGAAAACAGAGGTGTTGTAGAAGCTTGTTCTTCAGTTTGAACAATTTCTAGGTGATGTATGTGATGTGCTTAGATGTTTAGACAAAGCCTGCAAGGTGTGAGAGTTCCAAATATTTGGACTTTAAAACTCAAGAGTGAAAGCTTTTTTGGACAGTTATGGTTTTTGATGGCTAGTTTACAACAAGACTTCTGGCTTTTCTCTATATTTTTCTAACCTTTTCCAACCTTTTCCTCTTGCAAATGCTTCTTCTATTTATAGGCAAGGGGTTTGTGCATATGATCTGATTAGGTTTATAAGACAGCATGTTATGGTATGGTTGGATTACAAAGATCAAACTAAGTCAAGTACTCCATAGTCCCAAGATGAAGTACCAAAGTTGCTGGTATTGAGGAGCTACTTCTCATGATTTATGGTGAAGTATAATCAGCAAACAACAAGGTATGGGCTCAAGACAAACTTTGTACAAAAAGCTTGCTTTTCAAGAATAGAAATGGTGCCTTTATGCCATAAATGGAAAGATCTTTTGGACAATGGTTTAAACACTTGGTTAATAGCTCAAGAGTGGGTGTAAGCATTAAATTATGATGAGATTTGAAAGCAAAGAAGCCTGCAACATAAGATTATGCAGCAAATCATGAGAGTTTTATTATGTGTTCTTCACTTAGAATGACTTGCAATTCAAAGATGGATGGCCAACTTCAAGCCCTTAAATCTCCTAGCTCAAGTATGATAAATTTATGCTCTTGGATGTTTTGGAAAGCTTGAAAGATCCTCTATAACTTTCATTTTGGCCATTTTGACAAAATCATGTTGGAAATATGTGAAAAAATGCCAAGAAGTTAGGGTAAAATCCTGACCAAAATCTGTTAAAAATTTCTCTAAGTGTTAAATGAAAATGTCATGACTTCATGAATTTGTAACTTGAGATCCCATCATATTTAGGAGAAGCTGTATAAAGAAATGTTGTAGATATCATGGATATCTACAACTTTCATGTTGAAAGTTTCTTTTGAATCATCTTGCATCATGATGAAAGAATGGCATGAAGTGATGAAATTATCATGTATAAAAACACTTAGAAAATTTCTAAGTCTTGGAAATCTTGACTTTTCAATTTAACTTTTGACTTTCTTGACTTTTTTGATGATCAAGCTTGATATTCTTGCATGTCTTGATGAAATTTGATCTTTGGAATGTAATATTAACCAAAAAGTCAAAGTTTGACTTTCTAATATGCAATTAACCATTTTGCCCTTGTGCTAATTACAAGCCTAAATTGATGTATGAGTGCTGTAAACTTGACGTCATAGAAGATCTTGTGAGAGAATCTCTGAGAAATGAGAGGGAAAATTTTGGGATACAACAACTGCCCCTGTTCAATCTTCTTAAACCTGAAGAGTTAGATTGGTGAGTCTGCCATTCGTGACTTGAAGGTGAAAGATGATTGAACACTAGAGTGCCCAGAAATTTGCACTCGTAGATGGATGGTGAATGGGCTTATAGATTCCATTTGGAGGAAAGTTGATAAACATTAGAAGAAATATCAGCATAAATCTCTTGTTGATTTATACTAAAACTTGATGTTTTACCTGTGAGAAAAAGAGTTAGTAAAATGCAGATGCATGCATGATGTTCACCAGATGTGGTATTATGCTAAATGTATAGGGTATGTACATGCTACGATGTATGAATGTGAGATGCATGTTTCTATCCGGAAAAATAAATCCCTGACTGTTGCTTATGGAAATTCTAGAAGGTTAAATCCCTGATTGCCGTTGGGGAATATCTCTTGAATGTCAACTGTTATCTAGTTGGATCCAGGCTTCACAATTTGCTGAGGATAAAGTAGTCAACTGCTATCTGGTCGGATCCAGGCTTCACGGTAACTTACTGGGGGAAGAGACAAATTAACTGTTATCTGGTCAGTTTCTAGGATTTGTAGAAAATTTCTTGAAATTGAATAGTTATCTGGTCAGACCCAGGCTTCACAACAACTTGCTGGGGATACAGAGGTTAACTGTTATTTGGTCAGATCCAGGCTTCGCAGTACCTTGAAGTGGTAACTACTATCTGGTCGGGTCCAGGTTTCATGGTTTTTGGAAAGTTGTACTATTATCTGGTCGAGTCCATGCTTTATAGTGCATCTCTGGGGATTACAGTTAATTGTTATTTGGTCGGGCTCCATGCTTCACAATAAACTGTTTGAAAAACTGTTATTTGGTCAGGTCCAGGCTTTGCAGATTTCTGAGGTTGATGAGGTCAATTTCTATCTGGTCGGGTCCAGGCTTTACATATTTCTGAGGTTGATGAGGTCAATTTCTATCTGGTCGGGTTCAGGCTTCACAATAAACTGTTTGAAAAACTGTTATCTGGTCGGGTCCAGGCTTTGCAGATTTATGAGGTTGATGAAGTCAATTGCTATCTGGTCGGGTTCAGGCTTCACAATAAATTGCTTGGGGATTTAGTTGTTATCTGGTCGGGTCCAGGCTTCACAATAACTTGCTTGAAAAGATGAAGTTGAGAACTATTATCTGGTCGGATCCAGGTTTCACAGTAATTTGTTGGGGGCAGAGGAAAACTTTACTGGGGAAAAGAAGTTAAACCTTAGTCGGATTGAGTCCAGGTTCTTCTATATCTTTGAAGAGTTAGGCTACTATCTGGTCAGGTCCAGGTTTCATAGAATCTTGAAATTGAGATCAACTGTTATTTGGTCGGGTCCAGGTTTCAGATACTCAAATTGTTATCTGGTCGAGTCCAGGTTTCAGCAACTTGAAGAAGTCCAACTATTATCTGGTCGGGTCCAGTCTTCACTAATAACTTGAAAATTGTGCTAATATCTGGTCGGATCCAGGCTTCATAGTATCTTTTTTTTTGGAAATAGTAAAGGCTTGCTGACGGCTTTACTGGGGATCAGAGGTTGTGGCCCTATGATTTGCAATAATCTGAAAGAAAATTCAAACTGGAGAGTGTAGACTCAATCGGGTAGGACAGACTCAACTTGGGGAGGATACACTCAACTGGGGAGGATAAACTCCGCTTGGGGATAATAGCCTTGGTTGGGGAAGATATACTCAACTGGGGAAGATAGGCTCAGCTGGGGAACTTC